GAGAGAACTTATTCATGTGTATGCTTGGTGGAAGAATGCTAAGAGAACAGAAATAGGTTCGTCTAAGTGGTGCCCAGTGCCAGGCTAGAGGCAGTGGGTGCAAATTAGAACACAGGATGTTCTATCTGAACACCAATAAGTGCTTCTGTGAGGCTGTGGGCTCTCCTTGCAGATTTTCAGAAGCTGCCTAGGTGTGGCCCTGGGTGCCCTGCTTGAGCAGAGTTTGGGCTTGATGGACTTGGATTTAAACGTGTTCATAGTTAGTTTTCCTGTTTACCTTTCCTATGAATATCTGGCTGCTGTGACTGTGAAGAAACACGAGAAGTTCTCATGCTCCTGCTCCATAGAAAGTTTCTGCCCCATTTGTTTTGCAGTATAGTTTAATTTGACTTGCACAACTATTTAGCTATTGTGTAATTGTACGAAATCATTCTTATTTTGACAGTGGCCTCTAGAGGCTCGTTCAACCTTAACCATTATTCTGTAAATCTGAGGTTGCTACTTTCTTGTAGTGCTTGTTTGGAAATGAAACAGCAATTGTTCTTCCAACACTACAAACTGATTAAAGTGATGAAGCCATTGCTAATTAAAAATAAATAGTAACTTCAATTTTCCAGTTTCCTCCTGGCGGAGGTGTGCACCTCTTATTTTTTTCTCCATCATCTGTGGAGCAAGCTATAACACAGCGTGGAGAGGAGAGCTGGGCTTTGTTTTTAGGATGATATACACAAACCTAGCAGTAGTTCAGTCTCAAAAAGCAATTTTTGTTACCACTTTGGGATCTTATTGCAACTGAAAAGAGAAAGTTAAGAGAATGCTAAAGGTTGACAGAGGTACTATAGTGTATATACACACAAAGTAAGGATTTTGGGGATGATTTACAAATGTAGAGGCTTTTACTTGTATTATTACCCTGAGTATTTTATATACACATAATACAATGTCTCACCTGACTTACTACATACTGCAAGCAAAGGGCATGGGTTTTATTCACATTGGAAAAAAAAAAAAGGCAACTTGGTTTTATACAGCATGGAGCTAGGACAAAATGGAAGGGTGAGATGAATGACTGTAATGAGGAATTTTGCGAACTTTCCATCTAATATCCCAGGATACAATTATAATTATGTGGCAAAATGCTCAGCAGAAATCAGTCACAGCATCTCCAACAATACTAAAAGTTGCAAGAAAGTGAAGATTAGAAAATACGAAGTAAAAGAGGTAAAGTAACTAGCTACATGAATTTACCATTCCCATGTGAGTGATGTCTTGTTTGTTTTTGTTTATAAGGAGTAGTGATAAGAGGCAGAGAATGAGCTTGCGTGGTCATTTCAGGAATAGTATTGTAGACTGGACCAGCTGTTTACATTGGTGATTGGTAGGTTTTCAAATACCAGCTCAAGTAATTAAAATATTTGCTTTCTCTATTTTCTTCACAAATTCATGTGGTAAGGATAAATTTGTGAAGTTCTTACTGTCTTTTAAAATGCCAGCTGGACACTTGAGAGGATTATGGTTAAAAGGGGTAATCTTTTAGTGTACTGGTTTGACGTTATGGTGTTTGTAGTACTTTGGGAATCTTAAGAGACTCAGATTAAAGAGTCCAAAATGTAGTAGTCAGTAATTGGCTTTTTGGGTGGTAACATTGCCCACTGGTACATTTAAAAAAAAAAAAAAAAAAAAAAAAAAAGCGTATGAAAGAAATGAGACTTAAGAGAAGTTTGAAGTATGAAAATAGTCTCCTTAATAGAGTAGAGCCCATCCCTATCATTGTTAAAGATGAGTCTTCATTCAATCACGTTCTCATTATTTTAGTGAACGTTATGAACAGATTATAAAGGAATGCACTCCAGTAGATAAAAATTAAATGCTGTCACTATTCATGACATTTTAGTTAATTATACTATCCCACAATGACTTGTGACTGTTAGCACTGAAGCTTGAGATAAAAGGGAGGGATCACAGCAGCTTGCAAAAGCTGTACCAAAGCTTATCTCTGTCTTGAATGGAAGGATAATAAATTCCACGAACGCAGATCACCAGATGACCCAGGTTTTTCTTTAGCTGTAAATTAGGGGATTATACAATCCCTGTGCAATATTAATTATTAAACAAAGGCAATTTTAGATTTTAATTCATTCATGAAATTTTATAAAGGCTGGCAGATGAGCAGTGTCATCTTTGTTACCTGCAATTTTCTGTTTTAACTCCTTTTGTAAAGCTGCTTTGATGGACTGTGGGTGATCGTACTCTGTTGTGCTATGTGATGTCAGCAGACCTTTTACAAATAAATTAATGACATGATAGTCAAGTGTCACAACTTTTCTTAAAAAAAAAAAAAAAAAGAAAAAAAAAAAAAAAGAAATAATTATTTGCTGTGTCCTTTTTTTTTTTTTTTTTAATCATGTTAAAATTCAGGCGTTGAATTTCAGTATCGCCCTCTGACAAACCTAACTTTTTGCAATTCTTTGTCTGTAAACAAAGAGTCTAATCTATATAAATGTTTTTATTTGTACATATTCAGTCATTGGTTGTAGTGAGAAGATACTACTTTGTGCTTTTCTTTGTACCTAACAAATAGCACATGATAATACATCATCTGCTGGTTGAATGCAAGAGAGGAGGACAAAAATGACGAAATTATTTTATTTTTATGTAATATCTCTAGTTCAATGCATTTTGCACTAGTTCTCTCCACATTTTTCTGTGTAGGAACCTGTAACATATATTTCTCTTGCATACCTGTAAGCAGTATGGCAAGTTTTCTTTCGGTATCAGCATGTTTTGGGGGATGGATGTTTGTGATAATGATCAAGTACTGAGTAACACTGGTTTCAAAATATGGGAAGTCATGTTTCACTACTAGTCATCTTATGTGTCTACCATGCACAGTGTGTGCATCAGTAATTGAACAAATTAAACAAATGGCCATAAACACTGTAGAACGTAAAATGCATTAGACGTAATTACATGTACTCTGCAAAAAACATCTTCTTCCTTTCAGAAGAAGCCCAATTTTAGGATGTTCGTGCTTCTTACCAAATGGCTCAGAATTACTTTAAAAAACAAAAGTACACATTTCAGACCTTTATTTTAAATACTCAATCCTTTTCTGTCCTATTACTTACAGTCTATTCTCAAGCAGCCTTAAAGCACTAGATGTTCGTGAATATTCTCTTCGTGAATATCTGGAGAAGAGAAGGCTGCGGGGTGACCTCATTGCAGCCTATCAATACCTGAAGGGAACCTACACCCACGAGGGGAGTAAACTCTTCAAAAGGGCTGACAACAGCAGGACTAGGGGAAATGGATCCAAGTTGAAGGAGGGAAGATTTAGGTTGGATGTTAGGGGGAAGTTCTATACAAGGAGAGTGGTTAGGCCCTGGAACGGGCTGCCCAGGGAGGTTGTGGATGCCCCGTCCTTGGATGTGTTTAAGGCCAGGTTGGACAGGGTCCTGGGCAACCTGATCTGAATGTGTGTGTTTGGTGGCCCTGCTAGGCAGGGGGGTTGGAACTACATGATCCTTGAGGTCCCTTCCAACCCGGGTGATTCTGTGATTCTGTGATTCTGTGATGTTGCTCCAGGGTGTGTGTTGGGCATGCCATGTGTCTTGATGTATGCTGAATTCATGCTGAATGTAATTTTAATAAAACTCAGGGTAAAATGCCACTATTAGCTGTTCTGCATTGGCATCCAATCAAGGCGATATGAATGACATTTTTACTTGAATTTTAGACCTTGTGTAGCTGAAGTGTGTGCAAATGACAAATTGGCTGTGGTCAGCAAGGAGAATGCACGTGATTGTGAAGGTTGGATGATACACTCTCAGAAACAAGTTTTATACTGATGAATGTTACTGTTCAATATTCTCAGCTCTCAACCTTGTACAAATGTGAAATAGGTTTTTCCTGACTTTTAATCCTTGAGAACTTGTGACAGTCATCCTTGTTACAGTTGATGTTATTGGCTGTGTATACACACATGTAAACCCTACATAGTGGTGTATGTTATGCATTATAAATTACAATGTGATCTGTTTAAAAGATGAATCACCACATTTCTTCTTGTTCACATATGACATAAAATAGTACCATAAATGTATAATATAGGAAACTGGTGTGGTTTATTTGCTGCAATGAGCATTTGCTTCCAAATTCTGCTTGGTACGTAAAGGTACATCTTGGCTGTACAGGAAATTTCTACATTTGAAACACCTAGCAGTAAGGGGGGGGCGGGGGGGGGGCGGTGTTGCTGTGCTGATATATTACTAGTGACATTTACACCTGAGATTTTGGAGTATGTATAACTTCTAACAAGAATAGCTGCTTGTATGGAAGTCAGGTACTTCTGGGTGTTCTTTTATTAGTGCTAATTGAGCCAGATGCTCAGTTGAAATATGTGGTTGTTCTTCTAGTTGTAAATATCATCTGAGTCATATCAGCTAGCACTATAATACGTAAATAATTTGTATTAAGAGAAAATATGAATAAAAGTATCAGATATCACTTCTAAACCACTTGGATTTGGCCTTTTTGGCTCAAAGTATGAGATGTAAGACAAAAAACTACTTGTCAGAATTTCTTTTAAATAGATTATAATTCTCCTTAATTTCTATTCTCATTTTTAATCTGTGATGAAGAAAGAAGTGCATCGTATGTTAATTTTGAATTGGAAATACATGTCCTTTTACAGACTCAAGTAGATCGAAGAGATATTGCAAATTGACATCATATGTTGTGCCAGGTGAAACTTAGAAAATGAGAGTGGATATACCAGTCTATGGGAAATAGAAGTGCCACTTTATGAAATATAGAAACAGTAATGTTTCCTTCACAGATGACTACAGCAAAGTCTGGAAAATCATTTCTGTTTTGGGCTATCACAGCATGACTTATTACATGTATGTATTTATGTGTACACATATATGTATACTTTTTTTCTTTCAGCATTTAAAATACACCCTGAGATCACTTCAACACTGGGATTTTTGTCTTTGCAGTTTGTCGAGAAGACTCGTACCAGTCAATAGTCTCATGTGCTGCTGTAGTACTTACCCCAACAGTGGATACAAGGAAGAAAGAACAGATGCCAAAACCTGAAGCGTCTAAACAGTGAGTTATATGATCATTTATGAATGCAATGTGAACAAAGGGTATTTTCATTCTTGTGGATGCGTTTATACGCCTCATTTCTGTTTCACTAGGGGTTACGCTTAGGTGTTTCCATGAACAGAAATTGACCTGTGACTAGGCTGCTTCTTTTTCTCACTAGTCTACCTTTTTATCCAAGGTTTTGATAATGAAGTATACAAAAAGAGTGCTTATTTATCTTGTGAAAAATTTACTTTTTAATAGGCTTAGCAGAGTGATTGCCTTTGTTTAAATAATCCTCTCATTCATCTCAGTTTTCAGTTGCTTTTTAGAAAGATCTTAGTTCCTAAATGGTCTTCTCATTTGAGATACTTCAATATTTTTCAGTGCCTTTTTTTACTACTGTGTTATAAGGTATGATGACGTCCTCAAAAATATGGTAGTGATCTTCCACGGAAATTCTAAGAAATTGAGTATAATGTGATATCTTATGTTAGACAAAAATCATACCCAAAACATATCAGACAGGTTGGTTGTTCCCTAACAATTTTTTACATGGTCCCATACAACATTCTTGTTTCTAAAGTGGAGAGATTTGGCATGGTTAGAACTAGAGGGTTGTGGTCAATGGTTCTATGTCCAGGTGGAGGTCGGTCATGAGTGATGTCTACCAAGGGTTTGTCTAGGGTCTGGTCCTTTTCAATTTATTTATCAATGACCTGGATAGTAGGATTAAGCTCACCTTGTGTGGCGCAGTTGATACAACAGAAGGAAGGGATGCCATCCAGAGGGACCTGGACAGGCTTGAGAAGCAGGCATACAAGAACCTGGTGAGGTTTAACAAGGCCAAGTGCAAGGTGTTGAGCTTGGTTCAGGGCAGTCTCAGGTATGCATACAAACTGGGAGGAGAACTTCTTGAGAGCTGCCCTGCAGAGAAAGTCCTGGAGATCCTGATGAATGTAAAGCTGGACACGGAAAAACAAAACAAAACAAACCCACACTGTCAAAAATTCAGTGAATTAGATATTAGACCTGAAACCTTTGGGTCAGATTGAAATGTTTGCACTGCCACATCTGTTACTAGTTATACAGTGTCTTTAACGGGAGGTATAAAGTCTCTTTTCCTCATGTACGTCTAGTCTTAGTACAGGTCTATGGCCTAAGTCAGTAACTTATTGTGGCCTCTCTTTCAGTCTGATGGTAGAACCATTTCTTCCTAGTCTACATGTATTTGAAAATTTAACGTAGTACATTGTCTGTCACCTATATGTGAAGTAATGTCTGAAATACTCTTAGCATCTATTTGATTGAATGTTTTTGTTATGCGGCTTTCTAATTATGAAAAGATTGGGAAGGCAATAGGCTGCAGAGTAGCTATGCTGAAATACAAACTTCTGTGGTTAATTCAAACAATATAGTACGTTTTTGCCTCATTTCCATTAAAAGGTAAGCCTGCACTGTTATTTTATTGCCTTTTTTTCTCCACTATCAGCAGATTCAGCATTTCATAATCCCTTATGAATTTAAAGGAAGGTCCTTTATGTGTTTAACAAGTACTTGAGACTTTTACGATAATATCTCCTTTTCCCCTTTG